AGCGTCAATTGTATCTCTAAATAGTCACTTGTGTTTCAGAAAGTAAAAATTTGTATTTCAGAATAGCCAATTGAATTTTCTTTATGTCTTGAATAAAATTATCACTCAAACACCTTTCAATTTCATATTTTTTTTCAGAATTTTTCGGTCGATTTTAAGGTGTCAAAATCATCAATAATGCCACGGTAATTTTCGAACGGCTAGAACTTCACCGTGGGTAAAAACTGACGTCGCGATTTAGCAATTAAGGGCAGACCATAGCGCAGTTGCCATATGTTGAAATACGATTGGAGAATACTGTCTGTACAATATCAAGAAAAGATATGTCGATAAATCGAAGCTAACTGAACATATTCTTACTGAAGATGTACACCATATGGCAGAGTGGAATAATATCAAAATCATAGGAAAGGAAGATGACAAACAAAAAAGAAAAATCAAGGAATCCGCTTGCATTCTTCTGAACGGAGACAACTGAACATAAAAGTGGTAGATTCAAGATTAATTAATGAGAACATCCTGTAACTCATTTGTAGACTAAAATCACTCATTCATATGCCAACATCAGTGTGACACTGAGAAGTGAAGCAGCAACTTCCAAAAAGAAATATTTTGCATTTTTATGTTGAGAACGGTAGCAGATTCTTTCCCGATATTTTTTCAATATATCTATATTTCTTTGCTTCAAACATTTTTTCAAACAAAGTGTCACAGACAAGCTACTGGATTTTTCTTTTAGGCTCCCTGATAGAAAGATTTGTTAAATGCAGTGACATTTGGGGCAAATCATCTGAATGGGCGTGTACACCTTAGTAGAACTTTCAACTCAAACCATGTTTATAATGATCCTCTTGTACATAAATAGTGATTGACGACATAACTCGATCGAAAAATTAACTAGAATGTGTTATTTTTTGACATAAATAATAGTACCTTCTAAAAACGGACCCTCTTATGACGTAGAAACCTCATCTCGCCATAGTTGAAAGAAAATACCAAACGCCCGATGGAGACTGAGGCAACTGATATATTAATTCTTTCAACTGTGATCCCACGCTAATTCACTCTGTCAGAAATCATGTGTCATTCATCTCTGTCTGGAATAGTATTGTTTCAGTATTAGGGTTTTTACGTAACATCATCGCCTCGTGCCTCGTTTTCAGAGGTCCGAAAAATCGGGGATTTCAATAATTTTTTATAAAACGTAGGGAGCTCACAGCAAGAAACGGTTTGCGGTGGTGAGCTAGTTTGGGCGAGTTCTATCGAATTAGGAAATACATTTTTTTTGTGATATAAGCCCATTTTCCCACTACAAATAGATTATTGGAATGATAAGAATATTTTTATTTTATAAAAACAAGGTGATAAAATTCCAAAAAATCAAGTAAGATGATTGAAAAATATTAGTTTTTCAATATTCCATGAATTCTTGGTAATATTCCTAATTAACATTGAAAAAATTGTCTCAAAATGTTTCCCCATGTCATGTGGCTAATTGGTTATGTTACATTTGTGTAAATAACGATCATATCAATTCATACTAGAGGACATTTGAACCAGTAGACGCTCGGGTAAACGTGACAACAACGGCGCACGATTTGTGGGCGTGGTCTTGTCAGTTCTCAACATTCAGCACAATGTTGCCAAGTCTCCAACATCTACATGATATTTTGTCATGGAGTATGAGAAATATTTAGACATGCTGGTTGCTGGAAACAGTCGTGAATTATTTATAATATCATGGGTTCCTCCTATTAAGTCTAATTCAATGACAGGACTCGTAACGACGTTTTGATAGTTTGATTATAACTGGTGACTTGGCAACCTTGCTTCATGAGTGGAAATGGAAGATTTATCTGACCAATAACGAAACAGCACAAAAACTGACGTCACCATTTATTCGACGTATCGCCAAATGGCGGTCATGACGTTACGTTTGAAATGAGCTCTGAAATTCAATGATTTTGAACAACGCATAGACACATTATTTACGTAAAAATATCGTGAGAAGTGTTGCAAAAATTAATTCAGGTTCCTAACGACGCAGTGGAGTAATTGATTGCCAATAATTCATTATCAGTCCACTCGCCCAAATAGTCAATTCAATTGCAGAAAACGTCAATTCTATTTCAGAATAATCAATTGAAATTCAGAAAGCGTCCATTTTATATCTAAAATATGATATTTTCTGAAATACAAATGACACTTTCTGAAATACAAATCAATATTCTGAAATACAAATAACTATTCTGAAATACAATTGACGCTTTCTGAAATTCAATTGACTATTCTGAAATACAAGTGTCGCTTTCTGAAATACAAGTGGAAAAGGTATAGTAGACCTGGCAGTCCAAAGAGGCAAGTGAAGGCGATAGTGTTTCGCTGACCTTGAACCACTGGACAAGGATGAGATATTCAGGGATTCAGGAGACGTGATTGTTCGAGAAGATGAATTGATTATGATGATTTCCATTATTCCAAATTTTTTGGGATTTTCTCTCCTCGTTTCTATAAAATAAAAATATGAATATTACTTCAATATACGTGTAGTAAGGACAAATCAGATGATTTGCCCCAAAATGTCACTGCGTTTAAAGAATTTTCCTATCAGAGCCTAAAAGAAAAATTCACTAGCTTGTCAGTGACAATTTGTATTGAAAAAATTTTTGGAGAAGGGAAATAAAGGTATATAGAAAAAATATCAAATTTTCACTTATCTTTGGACGTTTCGGGACCGGTTCTGCTTCCGTTTTCAACATGAGAAGAGATTATTTCAATAGCGAAGTCGTATAATGTCTTGAAGCTTTTCAGTTTTCAATGACAATTGGTGACGTTGGCAATCAAATGAGTTACAGGATGTTTTCATTAATTGATCTTGAATTTACCATTTTCATGTTCAGATTTTAGTAGTGAATACCATGTTCTGTCTATATCAACTGAACAAGAAGCAATGCTATTGTCTCCGTTCAGAAGAATGCAAGCAGATTCCTTGATTTTTCTCTTCTGGTTGTTATCTTCTTTTCCAATAATTTTAATATTATTCCACTCTGCCATATGTTGTCCGTCTTTAGTAAGGATATGTTCAGCTAGTTTCGATTTATCGATGTTTCTTTTCTTTATATTGTACTTATGTTCCTTCGTCCTTACTGAAAGAGGTCTCTTGGTTTCACCTGTATAAAACTTTCCACAAACACAAGGTATACTGTAAATAAAATTTATTGACGATTGTTCTTCATTTTTCGGCTTTGTTTGAGTTAGAATTGATCTCATTGTATTTTCAGTTTTGAACACAGTTTTCACTTGAAATTTATCACCAACACGTTTTATTTTTTCAGATATGCCGGGAATGTATGGTATTATATTTGTCGTTATTGATGGTTGATTTTGTTGTGGTTGACCCTGTTTGTTTTCAATTTGATGAATCGTCCTATCGACAAAATTCTTTGGATAAGAATTGAGTTGGAGAACATTTTTAATGTGGTGGACTTCGTTATTGAAAATTTGTTGGTCAGATGATATTGATTTGGCTCTATCAAAACTGAAAATACAATGAGATCAGTTCTAGCTCAAACAAAGCCGAAAAATGAAGAACAATGGTCAAAAAATTGTATTTACAGTATACCTTGTGTTTGTGGAAAGTTTTATACAGGTGAAACCAAGAGACCTCTTTCAGTAAGGACGAAGGAACATAAGTACAATATAAAGAAAAGAAACATCGATAAATCGAAACTAGCTGAACATATCCTTACTGAAGACGGACAACATATGGCAGAGTGGAATAATATTAAAATTATTGGAAAAGAAGATAACAACCAGAAGAGAAAAATCAAGGAATCTGCTTGCATTCTTCTGAACGGAGACAATAGCATTGCTTCTTGTTCAGTTGATATAGACAGAACATGGTATTCACTACTAAAATCTGAACATGAAAATGGTAAATTCAAGATCAATTAATAAAAACATCCTGTAACTCATTTGATTGCCAACGTCACCAATTGTCATTGAAAACTGAAAAGCTTCAAGTCATTATACGACTTCGCTATTGAAATAATCTCTTCTCATGTTGAAAACGGGAGCAGAACCGGTCCCGAAACGTCCAAAGATAAGTGAAAATTTGATATTTTTTCTATATACCTTTATTTCCCTTCTCCAAAAATTTTTTCAATACAAATTGTCACTGACAAAATAGCAAATTTTTCTTTTAGGCTCCCTGATAGGGAAATTCTTTAAGCGCAGTGACATTTTGGGGCAAATCATCTGATTTGTCCTTACTACACGTATATTGAAGTAATATTCATATTTTTATTTTATAGAAACGAGGAGAGAAAATCCCAAAAAATCTGGAATAATGAATGTACCACCTCCTCGATTAACCTACAGACAGTATTTATGATGATTTTATTGTTCTTCAATTTCTAATCAATTGAATTTTAGAACGTGCCCATTATATCTCAAATATGATATTTTCTGAAATACAAATGACACTTTCTGAAATTCAATTGACTATTCTGAAATACAATTGACGCTTCTGAAATACAAATCACTATTCTGAAATACAATTGACCCTTACTGAAATGCAATTGACTATTCTGAAATATAAGTGTCGATTTCTGAAATACAAGTGGAAAAGATCTAGTAGACCAGGCAGTCCAAAGAGGCAAATGAAGGCGACAGTGTTTTGCTGACCTTGAACTACTGGACAAGGACGAGATATTTAGGGATTCAGAAGACGTGAATGTTCGTGAAGATGAATTGATTATGATGATTTTATTGTTCTTCCATTTCCCTCGATCAGCGGGAAAGAGTTTTATAAACCGGTATATCTCCTTGACCCATACGGTTGATATGGCGAAGAAAGTTGAACACCAATAAGTGACCAACCGTCGAAGATAGAGGCAGAAGTGAAGAAGAAAGTGTACCTTCGCTTGTTGCATGCTTGTTGTGGCTTAGTTACATACTCATAGTATTATTGTGCTCAGTGACTTAGTATTGAGGATATTATGGCCCGTTTCCTCAGAATTTTCTATAGTTCGGTGCTATTGATCGTATTATGTGTCCATTTTGGTACAGGTGAGAAATTTAGAACCTTATATACTTAGGTATTTGTTTCAAACTGCTAGGCAAAGATCTTCGCAACTTCGTCTTTCAAGCAGTATAGTGAAAAAGATAATTAGTGACAAAAACAATTAGTATTAATATTCTGATAGGTAGGTATGGTGTCATTTCCTATGCCTCATAATTTCCACCATAAGAATAAATCTTAATGATTAATAAGTCGTCCATATGCAAGTATTTTTTGCACGCTGACAGGTAGGTATAGTGATTGAAACAATCTCTCTTGATTGAATAAGATTTGGTGACGCTGTTTCCTGGATGTTGCAATATGATTATCCATATCAATATTAGACAAAAAAAAATCGATGCGAATAGAACGCAGAGATAACTAAATGCATTAAGAAATGCTCGTTTTTCCATCTACTCTGACTGCGCCTAGTCATAGTATTATACTTAAGTATATAGGTAAGGTAGGATTTTATTTATTTTTCTTGATATTCATAACAAATATCTGAAGAAGTGACTTATTATAATAGAGAGAAAGTTAGGAATATAGAATAACTATGTCCGTTTCCATAAATAAGTTCTCACTGATTATTCAAAAATTTTCTGAATTGTGGAATCAAAATATCTATACAGTGTGGAAACCTATGATGGAATAGAATCCATATTTCCATAACAAATATATAAATATGTACAGTGTGTCCACCTTAAGGACTTACCACCCCTGTAAAATCGTTATTATCCGACCAATTTCAATGAATCTTTTTTTGTTGGATAGGTATTTGAAATGCCCATCCAACGAGAGAGTGATCTAATTCTTGGACTGTTATCGTGGCCAACTGCGACAAATTTCAATGACCCATATTCCAGAAAGTACTATTAGGGATTTTTTTCCACGAAACTTGATGATGGATTCTGAATCAGTACCACTTGAAATATACCTGTACCGATTTTCATCATCATAAAACAACAGGGTGTCCGAAAAAACGAATCATCATTTTCTTCAAATAGGTGATCAGCAAATGTAGTTCTGTGGTATTTCTAGAAAGAAATAATCACAAATTATCATTGAGGATTATTTCAAATATGTACCAATTTTCGTCATTTGAATATACAATGTGTCTGGGAAAAAAATTAAAAAGGATAGGTAAGCGAGAGGTAAGCAATATTTTTCATCCTGATAATTCTTCACTTGAAATAAAAAGATGAATCAGGATCACTTGAAACATACCTGTACCGATTTTCATCATCATTAAACACAGGGTGTCCGAAAAATCAAATTAATATATTTTTTTTGTTGATGAAAAAATATTGCCTCCTTTTTCTTTTTAATTGTTTTCTCATACACATCGTATTTTTGAATGATGAAAATCGGTACAGATATGTTCAAAGTGATACTCAATAATAATTTGTCATCAATTCTTCTCAAAAATACCACAATACTACATTTTCTGATCACCTATTAAAAAAAAAACTCAATTCGTTTTTTCGGACACCCTGTGTTTTATGATGATAAAAATCAGTAAAAGTGTTTTTAAAGTGATCGTGATTCAGAATCCATCATTTTTTTTGTGAAAAAAAAGTCCCTAATAGTACTTTCTCAAATATGGGTCAATAAAGTTGGTCGCAGTTGGCGACGATTACAGTTGATGAGTAAAATCACTCTCTTGTTGGATGTACATTTCAAATACCTATCCAACAAAAATAAGTTTTTTGAAATCGGTCAGATAATAACAATTTTACAGGGGTGGTAAGTCCTTAAGGTGGACAAGTCGACTTTTATTTTTAAAAATCAATTTTTTTACCTGTCAACCCTCTACTCAACAGATCAACCTCTCCGAAATTTTTAAATGATACAAGGGGTCGAGTTACACCTTATTAGAGATCAGGTATTTCAAAACTCTATACAAGATTCAAGATTTATTGGAATTTTTGTCAATATTTTTGGTGATGGTAGGTACTGTTTCATTGTATTACTTGTAGCCTACATTTGAATTAACTCATTTATACTGAGTAGGCATAGACGGACATTCAGTATAAAAAACTTATGTTGATGTAGAAAAATAAACTGTACAAGCAATAAAATGAAATAGTTCAGACACAAATTCAAAAAAAAATTGAATCTTTCGACTGTTCTCTTGGATATGGCTCATCCAAATCCAGAAAGAAATAGGCCGTTGTACTTATATAGATTTGAATCACTTCTCTTGGATTACCCCCAGTGTCAAAATATTTTTCAGTTGGTTATGGAATGTTTCGCAGTAGATCAGTAGGTCGATGTGCAAATCTGGAGATCTACTGAACATTCAGTAGTACTGGCAACCTTGCAGCAGACGAAAAGTTAGTGTGTGCGGACGAAAAGCACTTGCTTCCGGTGATAGTCGATTTCTCGTTCGAAAATTAGAACGGAAAATGTGATTTTTTGTAGAGGACGACGAAAAAATCTTTTTTTTTCAAAATTAGTAAACGATGAACGTATGACAACATTATGTAGAAGTCATTGATACTTTTGGTGCTTCTGATCTCGCCAAAAAGTTACCCTTTGGTTCGGCTGTTAAACCTCTAATAATTATTTAGGGAAATTCAATATCGTGAACGGGAAAGTTGCATGTGATAGAATTTGTCAAAATGGAAAAAGTTCATGTACACTTGTTTGTCATCAAGCTTCGTTTTCGAAATACATGTGTTGCAGTTTTGTGAATAAAACAGTTGATTTATTCACAGCTCAAGAACTTTTTGGCTGATTTTCGTTTCGTTCGATTTCAGGAGATTTATTTGTAATATGGAAATGTTTCTTTTGGCGTCACTAGATTCACCGTAATTATTTCAGTCCCGTTTTATAATTTTATTCTATTTAACAATAGAAGATATAAATTTCTTGAACCATGAGTTTTTCGTGAATCTCGAAAACATACAACTTCACATGAACATTTTTTTTATTTTTGTGATTAGATATTATTCTATATCGCTTATCAATTTTTTTTCTGTATACCAGCAATGTTTTACTACAAAAATGTATATTGACTTCAATTTCGTTTGGTTTGTGTCTTCTATCATTCACTATTTTATCACCCCAATTCTGGAAACACCCTACATAATGAGAGGTTGTGGCTTAGTTAGTACGCACGCCCGAGCGTATTGCGAAAGCTATACAAAAGACTAGTATCAAAATCATGGATGTAAACCAAATCTCAAGAAAGGTGGAACAACTCGCCAGGAATGAGACCAGGCTAAAGAGTTTATTAAAAAACCATCGCCAACATTCACAGAGTACGTTATGTCTGACTGAAGAACTGCTGTGCAGGTTCTGTCAAGAAGAGGAAGAAACAGCAGTACACATACTTTGCCACTGTGAGAGCTTGTCAAGACTAAGGTTCCTTACGCTGGGTGAGGAAAAACCAGGAGCCCAGAGATACACAGGATATCTGAAAGCTAGCCTATGGAGTCTCATAGAGAAGGCGGGGCTAGCCGAAGAACTCTAATCGATTTTGAGGGCAGACACAATAGATCTGAAAAGGTAGCAGTGTGGAGGCAGATAGCCCGAAGGCCCCATTCCAAATCTAATCTAATCTAGTACGCACTTTTCATACATGTATATTTCCCTAAAAAAATGGGGAACTAACCGGGTGCCTACCTATACAGGGTGACATTGAAATACAATACAAATATTTCAAATCCACAGAGAAAGATCGACGTAACCCATATGGAATGACACCAATAACAAATTTAATTACTTTGAAGTGGCGAACCTTTTTTTTCAATTTGTTGTTCAATTTACAAGATGAATTTTTTTCCTCAATTAGAAGAGTCAGAAAAAAATCAAATATTTTGAGAATATTCGTTAGACTGTATCATATTGATGTGCTGGATATGCATTTATTTCAAGAACACCTCGTGTATAGTTGTAAATATTGTTATACTAAATGGGGTTATAGTAGAAAGTGATGAATGCCAAAAACAATATCAGTGATAATTTAACTTTCATCTTCGATCTGAGTAGGAGGGTGTATATCGGTAAAGTACCAATTTATATAATATATATAATAGTACACTCGTCTTCAGTGAACATGTCGCGGTTGGACGGTATGAGCGCTCATATTGCAGCGGTGATCAAGAGAGCTGACACCGTCCATGTGCGACATGTTCTCTGAAGACGACTGTACCTAGTTACCTATAATTTTTCTCATCCAAAATTTACCGATAGCCACTGCCCTTCATGCAAAGTACGCATAAGAAAATACATTTTCCCCATTTTCCTTAATGTTAATCCGTGGCGTCTCTGTTAACTTGTACAGATTTTGATTAAAACTAATAAAAAGTAATGTAGGCATGTTAATAAGAGGATGCTGATATGCCACTGATTATAATTGAGAAAACCTTTATTATAGAGAAAATGTACCTATTTTTCTGCGTACTTTGCATGTATCAAAATTGAAACACAAAAACAAAACGGGCCAGGGATATTGAGAAAAAACTGATTTTTTCGTGAAATTTCAACATCCTGTACCTCCGTTACTTCTCGCTTTCGAATTTGAATTATATGAAACCCATGAAATATTTACTAAATGTGAGAATATAATCGTGCCCCCAATGTTTTGTTGATCAAGGAATCTTAGGATTAGGAATGCAGGTATTTTATTACCTTCGTATTACAGATCACGTTCCATTCGTTCTAGAGAAAATGGGTATCTCGTAAAATTGATATTGCACATTTCCATTGTGCGTATAAGGATTAGAAATCAAGTACTTATGACTTTGTATATCGATCGAGTCTTTAACATTGTAGTGACATGCTGACATATTATTCATTTAATCTAGGTACTACTGCACTGAATCGAAAGCGATCGAAAGTAGATTAACCAAGGGACTGAAGTGGTACTTTCAATCCTGAATACGAAAAGTTTGTAAAATTTGATGAGGGATCAAAAATAACAGTAGTCCCGTGGTTTAGATCAGTTATTTGTTCACCAAGGTAGCAAATAATATCATTATTACCCAGGGACCTGGATAAT